GTCGCGCGCACAGAGCTCGCGAACTCCCTTCACTTTCACCGTTCCCCCCGCCCGGCGCCCACGCCCCGCCATCGCGAGTGCGGCGGCCGGTTTCACTATATTGAAGTAATGGAGCCACTGACAGTTTGTTTGTAAAATAATATTTTTAATAATTGTATTTAGTGTCCAATTTTAAGACTAGGTTTAAGTTTTATTTAGGATTTAAAATTAATTAGCTATAAGTTATGGGATCAAGCTCGTAAGTGAATAACTGAAACATTAATGCATAGCATTGTAACACAGTCGTCTGAACTTCCTATGGTCTTGAAATGAACTTCCTATGGTCTTCAATTTTTTCTCCAAATCTTCTCATTTCACTTATGCCAGTTATGTCCTATTTTATCTTATCTAGAGCAAACTCTAGTACTTGTAGTTTTTCTATAGTTCCTAGTGATCGGCAGTTTATAGTTGCCATATGGATATCTTTATATTTATTATTTTTAACATTAATTATATTTAACAAGTTGCCCCAAAGCACTATGCCATATCTGAGTTTAAATACCACAAATGCATGATAGGTCTCAAGTGATGTTTGTTGGTTGGCAATCTTTGTTAGTCTCCATGAAGCATAAACTAATCTATTAATTTTACTACATGTGATTTCCTATTACATGTATGATCCAACGTTATACCAAAAAAGAAATTTCATTAATTTGAGATAAAGTCTCACCATTATAATTCACATTTAGCTCAAGCTTTTTACCTCCTCTGTTAGGAAATTTTATATATTTGTTTTTTGCTTTTTTACACTTAAATTTTTATGAGTTAACCAGTGGAATACTTTATCAACATTTTCATGAAGCAAAATATTGTAATTTGATTCAACGTTCTCAGGTATCAGTAAACAAATGTCATCGGCGTAAGGATAGTTTCAAACCTGTAATAGTGGGAAAATCATTTTATATAGAAGAAGAAGAAGCGGGCCGAGTATAGTCCCTGAGGCACACCTACCTTGTTGTATCTAGCGTCACTTATTCATTTTTTTAATCAAAGTTCGTGACTGCCACGAATTGGGTCCTATTACTGAGATAACTTTTTAGCCAGTCTTGTGCCGGACCACGTATGCCGTATTATATCACACTTCTGTAGAAGTATTTCGTGTTTTACAAAATCAAACGCCTTACTCATACCGAAAAAATTGATGTTATATGTTTTTTTACTTTTCAATATATTTTAAATGTTGCTACTGTAATTGATTTTTCTTTTAGAAATCCGTGTTCTTCTAGACAGATAATGTGAAATTTATTTAAAAAAGAAAAGTTGGCCATCAGAACATTACTTCTGTTCTAGTGTTATTTAAATGAAATACAATTATAATTATTTCCTTTTTGATGGTAGGAATTGGCGAGATGATCGCTAAAGCCATTACGTCATCCGTGCTGTCAAATTATTTTGGTTACGAAAAATTACCACAAATTATACCTCAATTAGTTATTTAAGGGTATGTTAATATTCCTTATTACCAAGGTGAGGTGCCAGATGTTACACAACTTACGCGCGACTACGAGAACTACTATAAGGCTTGATCATTTTTCTTTTACAGTATAAGGTCCCCAAAAACATGTTCGTTTAAAAACGTAACAATACAATCTGACTCATATTTTTCACTCGTTCGATTTTCACAGTAGTAACTAAAATCACGGTTTTTTTTTGTAGTTTACTATCTGCCTTTATAGGTACAGGCAAAACAAAATCTTTGTTCCTTGCTATGGAAAACATGATGACAACGATCGAATGATCGTGCTCGTCACACAATATTTGTCCTGGGTGGGAATCGAACCAACGACCTCCGACTTAGCACTCGTCACTAACCACTAATTCAAGAGGTCATTATTGGCAGCAGCATACAGTTGAATCATTGTTGTCGAATGACCTCGTTACGTTTTTTTTGCGCAACCTGTCGTGCGTACCTTTCACATGTATGTCTATAACTTGTATTCTTGTATGCAGCCAAATCGTTCTTAACGAATAAACTCTCGTCGTGCGTCCGAGCTGACACACACACTTTTTTCCTAGAGACATAAACAGTAGCATCTAAACTACACGGCTCACCGTCAACGCCGTGGCGCCTTTGCATGTTAGTTGATTTATGGCCTCTGCAATTTTAAAATGTTATTTCTAATGTCTAGAATATAGAATGAAATCAATAGTAAAACATAGTGACCGTAGCGCCAGCATTGACTGGCGATACCAAAAGTAGTCTAGTCTACTAACTTTATGTTCGCAAACAAATTATTTCAATATTTATATATCATGTATTATTTATATTTAATGATTCTAAATTTAATAGAGGACTAATACATATACTTATACTTATTCTTGTTTACATATGGTGAAATAAACTTACAAAAAAAAGATACAGTCGAATTGGGAACCTCCTCCTTTGTGTTTTTGAAGTTGGTTAAAAAGAGATGTGAGGAGGATACATAATTGTATTTCTTTCATACCCCCCAGGGATACACCATCACCTAATGTTGACACAGTTATTTGTACAGTTATTATATGTACATAGGTATCGCGAGTTCTAAAAATATTTTATTGAAAAATCGCTATTTATTAATTAACTTTTTGTATCTGGGTGCAAAAGCCTTAAGTCTGGATTTACACATCTTTTATTTACTGTGATGGTAGTGCCATTATATTCTACTGGCCGTTATTTATAAAATAATGATTGTTGATATAAACGCGTCTGTGAAAGAACGGTTCAAGTCGATCAGAACTCCTCATGAACCAACCATTCAAAATAAAAGATTTACATTGTTCACAGGTCATTTATTTCATATCAATGTATGACAGTTTACAAGCTATTGACTTCACAAATTATAATTTAACATACAATTTCATTAAAGTTTCTGATAAAATGAATATCATCCCTTTAAATACTAGTACATCGGTGATGAATGCAATGATTTATTAAATAGAAAACAACGCAATAGAAGCGACTTCATAGTATTCTTCATGGCTATTAGTTAGGTTATTCGCAAGCCATAGGTGATTACTTTCCTATTGTTAGAATACAAAAATATATTAGAACCAAGTTAAACTCTTGCACTTAATCGAGTGATATTCTCTTAATATCAAATTAAAATAATAGCCAATTTAAAATTATATAATACAAACTCCGCATAATTTTGTTCGGACTAGAACCCACCACAAAATGTGAAGTGAATTTAATTTACAAGATATTTTTGGCAAATGGACTCTTTCGAAAAATTCTAATTTTAAAAAGTGCTATTCTTGCACAAAAAAAAACAATAGGTCTTATATTCACTCTATATAAAAACCTAGCAAGTGAATCAAATTATAAATTGGAAATTCGCCTGTCGCGCCCGCGCAAACATTTTCAAGGCTTCATTTCCAGTTAACATACTTATAACTGTTTGTAACGCTACGTTTTTACACCTAGTGACTATAAGACCTTACATATTACTTACAGCAATAAATCCCTATCATAATTAGTATTCAAAACAGACGTATCGCTAGCTACATGGCATTCGTTTCCATCACATCAATACATTTGGACTAGCTTCCTTAATTACGTTACTAAGGCGTTATCCTAGTAATTAATAAAACTAGTCACGAAATTTGCGTAAAATATAAACCTATCTATATTCTTTTATATCGGTACAATACGTAATAGGCATCTGTATATAAAGTATTAAAGTAGACTCTAAATTGAAAATATTTACATAGTATCTTTGACACATAGAAATTGTTGAAAGGTTAGAACACCTAAACCACAATGTTATTTAAAATAACCGATACTATTTTATCTACAAGCATATAGGTGAAGTATGACTTGACTGTAATTACTACCACTGGTGATCAATTCCACTTTCCATCGACATTAATTACGATTGTTATAGCAAGAAAGAATTTAAACTAAAAGTTACTTGATAACTTTGGATGTGAGTTCTATAATTCATTTCTTAAAAATACTTTAAGAACTTGGGTTACATTTTGTATTAAAATTCAGGTATTAGAGTTACCAATCATTACACTTGTGTAATATAGATAATACAAACTAAAAGCAAACGCACAAAGTAGGCGACCAATAATAACATTTGTGATATTCATACATGACCACCTTAAAATGCGGTTATCGTGTACCATATACATTAGAATCGTAAATAAATATGCACATAAGTATTATAATTTATATTTACAATTAAGAAAATATGGCACATCGTTTTATCGACCGCGCTCAATCTTATCCGAGCGATCGAGCCCTACCACTAACAATAATACGAATCAGTATCGGATCATGTAATGCGCCTAAATTTCGTGTTACCATAATACCAATTAAAATACCGGTGGGTAAGTCAATATTCAAAGCCGTATAATACAGTAAAGCTACCTCCGTCGTCGATCGACTGTTACGCGCGGCCGACCATCCCTTCATACCGTGCACGCACTGGAGAACTGAGCCTCGCACTCAGAGAACCAGCCTAAATAATCAGTCCTATAACAGTTAACCTCTAATTGGCCCAGCCTCATATTTTTGATCAAATCTCAAATTACATCTCACCTCGATCTAAAAAGCAGCTCGTCCAGTGCGCTGTTCAGTCTAAAACTAGAGACACATTCGAATCGTACGAATACATAAAAATATGTCAGTCTATTCACTTAGCCTAACAGTCTGGGATATAGACGGGACGGGCGCAGTAAAGCTAGGCGCACACCAGGTGGGCGAATCGCAACGCACTGCAATAAATCCATCACACACCATCGACCGCAGCGCCAAACTGTGAAATGTTTGCGTGGATTTACACGATCTTTTCGTTAACGAGACTTGAAAATGAGAATTTCACAAAGAGCTCAAAACGGTGAGTGCAACATTTCCCAAGTTCATACTGAAGTTGAGAAATTAATCATATCAAAAAGAAAGTTGTATCCACACAAAATGTATCAGGCGCGTTACTCTAGTATAGTCCCGGTTTGCGCGGAGGTGCTGATCGCACTCAGCTGGGCGAGCGCGCTACGGGCATCGTGAGGGAGTGCGTAGAATGCGCGGGGCGCTCCGTGCGGCGCTGTCGGCGGTGGCGTGCGCACGCACAGCACGCGTCCACGCGCCGCCGTCGCTGGCACGCGGCGCGACCGCATCTCTTGCGGACGCAAGTCACTTCACCATCCTGAAAACGAAGAATTTTAGTAATGATATTAGTATTGTATGTCCGTGTGGTGACTGATTAAGAATGCAGAGTGTCACCACTCCTATTCATACCGTGGGTGTCGTAAGAGTCGACTTAGGGAAAAAACCACGCAGAACAACAGCACTGCAAAGAGAAGGAGAACTTGACACAAACCCTATACCAACCCGTCTTGCCAGCGTGGTATAATAGGCCAAAACCTCCTTTCAAAAGGAGAGGCTTATGTCCAGCAGTGGACTGTTAAAGGCATCACTACATGGGCGGAAAAATTATAATAATAAGATACAAATTGTGGCAATTTGTATCTTATTATTATAATTTTTCCGACTATGATAAGGAGATACATATGGTGGCACCATACGTATCTCCTTATCATAGTTTAGGCTTTCCAAAGGATCATCATGAACTAAGTAGTTAGATAAAACGAAAGTCATAAGTCAGACCTTGCACCGGCACGTAACGCATCGCTGTTCTCCGTGAGAGTGTATTGACGGATGTACTTCCTTGCCGTTTGGTAGGGGTCCGTCAGGGAACTTACAGCCGCCTTCAGCAAGAATTTCTTCAGCTGTTCGTGGTGTCCCTTGATCTTTAGGAGTCTCTTCATCTGGTTTTTTTGCCTTCAACTAAAAAATGGCATCGATTACTATGAACGTACATTCTAAATTAAATTAAATAAATCTTTGGTCGCTTACGGAAGTGATCAGTTATATGACACTAATTTGGCACAATTTTGTGCTATACATTACAATTTTAAGAATCAGTGTGGTGGGTATAGGTGCATCAATTATTTTTAAATTTTAATGAAAACTTAAGTATGAAATAAAATGAATTACATGTATTTACCTCTGGACAAACTCGACAACAAGCCTTTTTGTCAGGTCTATAGGCATCCTTCTCACTACACTTTAATGGTGGACACCGGACGCGTGGACATTGTATTTGTCGCGTTTGAAAGTTGCATGTGCAGATGGCGCACGTGTCATATCCACCGGGTACAAGGTATGGATGCCATGATGAACCCGGTGCATAAGTTTGATCTGCTAGTGAACAGCTACCGTTTTCTGACCAGACCGCTGTTGTTGAATCTGAAAGATACGAGAGTACCACTTTGAAGAACTTACATCGTAAGTTACTACTAATGCATTACTGGGGAGTCAAAATTCTATTTAAAAAAGACTCATGATTTCAACAATTCTTTATATAAGCATACTTGACAAAAAAATTACAACCTAATAATTAACTTTTGCGTTGAAAATATCTGAAACCGTGCGTCAATACTCGTAATATGTACATAATAATCTTGTATTAAAAGTGCTAACATTTTAGTTATCTGCCTTTTATTATAGGTACAAAGTTTACTGCGATATTTTATGATACAATGTTTAAACAAATTACTTGTTCACCTATAACATAAACAAGTCTTTTTATTGATATAAAAAGCAGAAGGGTCACGTATTGATAATTACAATAAGTAACAACATTACTCAGTGAAAAGCAATGAATAGTTTAGCACCGTTTTTCTATAAAACCGTGGTATTACTCCTGTCGAACTGGCCCATTACAGCTAAAGCGTGGCTTTCCACGTTTAAACGTCTCACGCAATGCAACGTTTTCAAGATTTACGGTAAACTTTTTTTAAATACATACAATGTACATATTACAAAAGAAACACCGAGTAAAAATAAAAGACTCAAATATCAGTTACTCAAAGTTAACAGAAAAACTTCAAGTATTCACAAGCACTTACTGGTGCATATAGGGCAGCATTGTCCTGGTGGCTTGATCGTGGGTACCAAGCAGTTGACCGGCGGACATTGGATTGGCTCACATCGTGGCATACCCAGCACACACCAGCATTTTGAACACGTCTAAAAATGAGTAATAAAATAAGCCAATTTAAACCACAGCTTAAAGTCTTTGTGACCTCTAACGGTTTTTCTAAGATTTTTTCCAAGTAAAGGCTCACTTATCGTAGAACTACTGCTAAAGCCACCGCTACTAAGTTATTGATGAACGACAGATGTCGCTATAGTAAGTAAAGGTCGCTATAATAAGTAACCTATTGCTACGAAGTTTAAAAACGCAGTGTGTAAAGAGTGGGTACACTCTTGCACACTTTAGAGAGATATTATATAATAGACATTATTGTAACATTGTAACTAGTTTTATGTTAGCTTATAGTAAACTTTATAAAAGAATCTAATGAAAATAAGATGTAAATCATATAAAAAATGTAACCAAGACATTATTCTGATTCTGCAAATAAATTTGATTTAATTTAATTTTATATTATTTTATTTAAACTTAATTTAAATTTCTATGTTTGTCTATTCCTTCATGAGTTAATTTATTGTATTAAATAGGAAAATAATATGAATACTAACCTCAGTATCTGTCCAAATCTCCCCCAACTTGTAGAACTTGTCACGCTGTGTACAATAGTTAACATTCAGCCTGAACAACGAATAATCAGAAATCTGATCTTCTGACGGCCCTGGTGTATACTTTGCGCTTAGCTCATTGTCAGCCGTTCCAGGAACTGCTGGCAGACACGATGGTGGTACAATTATCTGTAAATTATACTTATTTTTAATAATCGAACCATTAAATTCATAAAATAGCCTACAATGAAGAGCCTGCACACTGACTGCATATTTATTAGCGATTTAATGACAAATTACATGGCAATACTGCTTAGGAATCTGAAACACTGTTTTATTTGTATAATATATGTCATATGTGTGAAAAATTAAAAGTTTAGAATAGTAATGCACGGTAGATTCGTATTGAAATTCAACCTCAGCAACTGGATAACCACTTTCGCCAGGGAGAAAATCAAGGTTAAACACTAAAATAAAAAAGTCTTACTAATAAGTTTTATAGAATGAATAGGCTTATACAAAATGTTCCTAAGCAGTTAGGAACATTTTGTATCCATAATATTTTAGAAATACCAAATTTGTTGATATATAACCATATCTATTTTTCTCGAAACGCACTAATCAGTTAAATTTTATTACCACACTTACCATTAAATGGTCCAATTTACAGAGGCATAAACAAATTGATACATTAATTAAATATAGTTCAGACTCCAGTTATCTTTATTGTTATAATCGTTACATTGTACTTAGTAATAATCAGATTTATGAGAATATTTTTATTAAATATGTTATGTTTTATAATTATGTTAATGTATGTCAAGTATCACTGCGTCACTAATTTAGTTAAATTGTAAGATAACATACGAAAAGTAAAGGAATAGAGATGGATTGATTCATCTTAATGATTTGGTGTTTCATCTGGACGTAAAACAAAATATTCAGCAAAGCTTACTAAATTCAACAAACTCAGTTACTCAAATAACACTTGTAGTTCAACATTCGGATACCTAATCTACTATTAAGTAAATTCCATCGCGGCAACGGATCTGATATTCATACTAATTCTAAATGCGAAATAAAATTATAAATGTGAAAGTGTACCTGTCTATCTGTCTGTCTGTCTGTTACCTCTTCGCTTGTTTACGCTTAAACCGCTATATCGATTGAAATGAAATGTGGTACAGAGTTCGTTTGAGTCTCGGGAAAGGACATAGGGTAGTTTTTATTCCAGAAATCACCCTTTAAGGGGTTGAAAAGGGGGGGGGTGAAAGCTTGTATAGGGAATCAATAACCGCTGAAGCGAGTTAGATGAAATTTGGCATGAAGATACTTGATTCTTGAGGATAATCATAGACTACTTCAAAGCGGGCAAAGCCACGGGCAAAAGCTAGTCGGAAATACTTTGTGATTTTAGTTCGCACGATTCCGATACATAGCCTTCGGACTAACTCTAATTGCACTCATTGATTAATGATGGGGCAAAATAGTATATAAAATATATATCCGAGTAGTGTTGGTTACTATCATTAATTAAGCGGTCCAAAAGTTCCAATAAGAGCTGGGATAAGATATGCAGCACAAAAGATTGATACAGCGTTCGTTTTGCCTAAGATTTGTTACATTCGTATATTTTCTCCTGACTTAATAGAATTGGTACAGATAAAAATAAAGAGGAATTCAAATATATATACTACGTTATAATTGGACGTGATAGACATTAACGTGTAACCTCATCTGAATTCACCCTTAGTTCACTTGAAAACGGTCCAAATAAAATTTTATGAATGGAACATTAACCTTAAAAGGTCGCATCATATTTAAATAAATTTTTGCACAATATTTTGGCTTTTGTTTTTTTCATATCTTTAAATCAGTACTAAATGAGATCGTTTTCTTTTAATAAATTGGCAAAATTAGCAATTATATTTGAAGATAATCTTTGAAGATATTCTTAGGAAAATTTCGCAAATTGAAGAGCATAAAGTTTTGATATTTTTTGGTTAATTAATAGAAATACAGAAACCTTCAATTTTAAAACTACCTTAGTTATGAATTAAAAAATTTCTTGAAAACCGGTGAAAACTATACGTAGTTCAGAATATAAATACTAACTTCACATGTTTTCTTTACGCTTCATAGATTTTGAAAGTAGCAGTTCTAATAAATGTACATTGTGTATTTACGTACCTGAGGTACTCTAGTGCGCAGTAGAACGGTGACATTATCATGTCTCAACTCCAGGTGTGCCACGCCAACATGCAGAGCTACTAGTTCTGCCGCAGTGGGCTCCAGCACCCAGCCCTCTTCACCACCCAGCTCTCTGGCTCCTCCATCTTCAGCTGTATGTGTCACCAGCCACCAGCTCGACCATGAACGGGCATTGCTTCCAGTTACGACTGTCTGGAGAAAAAATAATTTAGGATCGATGATTGATGATGATGTATGGCGTGTATTGCTAATACAAGAAAATGTACGTTTGATTATTTTTACATTTTAACGGTTATTCGTGTACAAGTAAATTTAAAGAGTCACAACACTACCGTAAAGGAGCTAACTAAGTGACTTTGAAACGAAGTCCCAAAGGATATTATATTTATTGTATATATCGGTTTTATTACTTTGTTTAAAAAAAATACACTTAAATTTAGTTAATACGAACTGTACATCTTGTGATAAATAAAAATAGCTTCATAATTCCATGGTGTTACAGAAAAGTTTATTTTAATTATGTGAGTTACGCCAATACAAAGTTGTTTCGACATGAAAAATATAAAACAACAAACGGTACCTCTTAGATTAAATGAACTGTAGAAAAGAAACTTAATAACACTATTTATGGACTGCATTACATTTAATGTACTGAAGATATTCGAATATAACCTATCGAAAATATAGGTTTATAACGTTAGGTAAAAAGGGTTTGCATGGATAATAAAATGTTTAAACTTTTGCAAAATAAATATACCTACCAACATAATGATTAATGCACTTGATTTATATTTTCTTTTCAAGAAGATTGTAGAAGTAAACAGTCTCTCGTTGCAAAAAGTTTTTATGAGAAAATTTATCGTTTAGTGTACTATCGTATGGCAAATCAGACAGCACGAAAAGTTCAGAGGTTATAACTCTGTTTTTTATACTTTTAAAACCAAACGTTGTATTTTTATACTAGTGTAATATAGTATTTTCACCTCATAATACAATCCACACAAGGAATCAACGGACAGCCAAGCTAGGCCGGCCATATTAGCGGGTAAGCGAACTTGTCCTGTGCGACGCAGCAACGCGGGGCCAGACCCTGCGGCATCTGGCAGCATCCTAGACGTAAGACGCCCACGAAGCAACGGTGGTCCTAAAAAGAAAAAACACTTTTTGAGTAGGGGATCATTTTCGAAAGGCTGAAGTGTGCTTCTTTGCTATCTTAGTTGTATTAAGATACATACACATAAATAATTAAAAAAAAACCACTTCAACGTACCTGCATCAGGATGAATTATAATAACTATACTATTCATTCCCTAATATTCAGACTTTAGAACTGGTATTTTTTTTTTATTTAAAATGTAAAATTTAAATAAATGACAGAGTTCTATGGCAACAAAAATGAAAAAAAAACACCCAAATTAAGGCGAATCGCTTTTCAAAAAAAAAATGAAACGCATATTACTATTACCTTATTACCTACCAACCAGGTTCACAAAACAGATGATTACCTAATTTGCATCAACAAGAGGCATACCTATCTATTAATCGCATTTGTGGAATTCCAAATTATAACATTGCTAGACTAAACCACCTACCTAGTGTTCAATATAAAACACACCATAAGATTAAAGAAGTAACAATGTAAATTAATGTTTTGCAATTATTGCTCTGGCACTCAATTGAAATGAATGGTTGATCGAATTTATTCTTGCCTCTGCCAGCTCGTTAAGACGTTAGTCTGGCCTGATATCTTTAAGAGATTTTGATTAAGTAAAAAATGATGATTGTTTAAGACACTATTTTATCACAAGACGCTTTGAAAGGAAGACTGATGATGATGTCTCATGGGATATGGCTTGAACGAGTTACGAAATAAATTTCAAATATATTATCTGTATTTTTTTACTATTCCTCCTTACATAGAATTCAAAATGATTTGGTCCTGTACGTACAAAATATACTTACTGTTGTAATAAATGAGCTGTAATATTGTAATGGTATTATAAGTGTATAATACATGGTACAACGAATTTCATTTTTCTTATAAGTGAACAAGAAGTTTGGCGGTATTGGGTCGTGAAAATATTTTCAGTGTCGTCTAACAAAATGAGCGATACACTCACGTCACCCACTACTAATCTTGCATTGCGACATGAATGTTTACAGAATACCAACCTTGGGCCTGTACTACACATAGCTCGTTTAAGATCGTGTTACTGCTTACAAGGTACGTTAGGCATTATTTTCTCTCTGTACGAAAATATGTTCAATTGACTAACTAATGAAATATGTAACTTGTCTCTTACCAGTATCGCCGCTAATGTGTACAGCCAACTGTTCTTCATACAATGGCTGGAAGATTCTTGCACTTGGTCTTGCCAAAACTCCAATACGTGTGTCTAAAATTTCCACCTGAGAGTGACGCTTGCCTTGTTCCTCTACTAAAGTTATTTTTGGATCTGTAATTCCCAAATTGTCTACCTAAAAATAACAATAAAAAATGGATTTTAAAATCAAGCTTGCATATTCTTTAAAATGATAGAGGTCACTTTTTCTAGGGGTTTACTTTAATTTCGTACGCGCATCTAACTATATGCAGCTGTTATATTTTTATTAACGTGAACAAATAACCGACAATTATTGTTCACGTTAATAAAAATAATTATTACATTACAATTATTGTGTTTGTAGAATATATTAGAATGGAATAATCTTTATTGTACGCCAATTCAGGATATTATACATACAATAGTATTCCAAGTTAATGATCATGTACAAATAGCGGTTTGTAGTTACTGTAATATTAATATGTAAAATAACTTGATTTTATTTTCGAGTTACTTTCGTTTGACTTTGAATAGGCACATTCACTGCACTGAAGGAAAATAAAACGCAAACTGATATAGGTAATAACATTATTACCTATATCAGTTTCCTGATAGACGAACGGAAATATTAATCCATAAATGTATGTATTGCAGAAACTAGCCTCGGATTTCCTGATATTGATATTTCATGTTTTGTATATATCTATAGGTTGTAATTTATGATCAATTAAATGTTCGGTATGCCCTTTTATCAGTTATTATGTCGGGTAGGTTAGGTTAGAATAGAATTCATCCTCTTGTAGTTACGTTATTCACGTTGAAAAAAATTTGTAAATCACGTCTAATGCATTATATTTTCAAGTGAACTTAACGACCACTCACTTAATCCAAACGACATTACGGAAGCTATTAACACTACTTGTGCCTAATATTAACGTAATAAATTGTTCATCTTAACGACATCAAATAACCTGCTTAAGGGCTTTTTAAGTACTTGGTTATTAATTAATATGATTTGATGATGATGATGAAACATTTGAATTTTATACAACAAACAATTCACCTATGTTTTGCTGCTGTTACACACATGTTTGATGTGAAACATCTAAGAGTGTGTGACGGCTGTTGGCGTGGCGACGAGACGCCACGCCCTTCGTCGCCACACTATGTAATAGTATGAGTATATGTAACATTATTTCTACTAAATAATTTTAATGTTTCACAAATTTGTTGTTGCGCAAATTTTGTGTCTGCTGTTTCTTCATCAGCTTATAAAAGGAGGCTCAGTTTTCAGCAAGAACTTTTTGTAGAACTTTATAAGTACTAAACTAAATAAAATCCTTAAACAGCTTGAGCTTATAAAATAGTAGTAAATATACGAAGCCAGTGGCATATAAATTAATTTAAGATAATTACTTTTAGGGATTTCCTTTATATCACAGTATTATTATAGTATTATATTATATTTACAGTCTACAAATGGACTTAATATAAATTTATATTATAAATGCCATATATAATTACCTGAATGTCATAGACAAGAGAACCTTCTTTGTCGATGTAAAGCAAGGCAAGTCCTTCAGGAGCGGGCGTTGCTGGCAGCCTCTCGGCAACTAGCGGAGCATTGTACAATTCGCAAGCAGCTTTTTGTCTGACGCTCCCTACAATGCGTCTTTCAGGAGACCCGACTGCTTCTACAGACAAATACAATCTCCCCCTTGCTAAAGAACGTAGTTCTGCTGCAGACACAGGTGTAGAAACTTCGAGAACGTTGAAGTCGTAATGGGGTTTGCTTACCTTCTGCACCTGAAAGCAACATGCATCGTCTAAGACCTGTATGCATAAACAGTTTTCAAAGATGTATGAACAGAAAATTTTTGAAGCAGCAAATCATACAAGCCAAAAATATTGTGTAATGAACACCATCATTTGTAATCAGTCGGGGTGTAATTATATGTATATTGTTTGTATTCAGAAATATTTGAGTATATGTATTTAGAAATGCCCTTACTCTGGCAATTATAGCAGTTATTTTTTAAACCTATTAATAGATTAAAACTTTTTACTTTAGTAAAAGCTATAACCTGAAAGAAACAGCTGTGAATATACCTGATCAATTATCGTTTGATTCTTTTCGGGCAATGTTAGAACGACTCTAACAAGATGTGGAGCACCAGGTGTCTTGGGAAAGACTCCATTGAAAACAATTGCTAAGTATAAACTTGGAGTGGCTCCAGCAACTGCTGTTATAACTGCAGTCCCTCCCCACCATCCATCTTCATATTCCATTGTTGGATAATCCACGCATGCTCCTTGGCCAATGGAAGCAGGCGGGTGCTCCGGCTCCAACAAAGTCGTAAACATCTCTGATGATAAAGCCGGATACCTAAAAAAAATTACTAATCTCAAGAATGCAGTTTATTTTAGCAAAAACATGAAATTATTTGATGAAGATGAAGATGAAGTCATGAACATGTATAATAGATAGAAGTCCAAATAAAATCATAACATCTAAAGTAAACTTTTCCGCTGGTAGTCTGGCAACACAATTAAGACATTATTGAATATCTGAAATGTGTTGTGGGAAACATTATTATAATAATTTATTTCGTACTAGTTCCTTGTCGAACACACGCTATATCCATAGATTATTCTAAGGGATATTACTGTATAAATCACGCAATGTTCGCATTACGATATAACTAGTACTTACTGCAATCCGTCCTACTACTAAATCTTTTAGTAGCCCTTATTTGTTGTGAAAATGTTTATTAACTTAATATAAGTGTTGCTAGGAATAAATGAAAGTTGCCTATAAAATTATAATTATCCTTAACAGCGATCACAGTACGAATAACAAAATAAATCGAAATAATGAAATAAGATCGAAATAAGTCTATACATGAATTTTCATTTTGAAGAAGTAAATTCAAATATTAGAATGAAGTTTTTTGCCCGTTAACCGCTCTGAGCGGATGGGAGCGAGACCAAAAAATGTGTAACAAGATTTTTTCCGACTCTTCTTCATTTCGCCGTTTTTATTTACTATGTTTCTAACACATTACGACATACTATATCATAGGATATTAGCGATAGCTGAAGCAATTAAAACTATAAATCAACTGCGTTTCCATTAACAGCAGTATAAACTTACTATAAAATATGGACATATAGGTTTTATTAGTAGAATAACTTCCAACGTTAAATCTAAAGTTTTCCGTCATTAATTACACGCTTCATTTAGTGTATGCGAACAGTGGTGGCATTCATTGATTCCCGGAAATAATTACTAACCAGACCGTCGATTCCTACAGAGTAGAGCTCATATAAAATTCCGTACCTACCTGTCGATTCTACCGCTAAGAGCGCCATCGATAGAATTGTTTCTAGTATCACCCCATAGTAATGCTATATGCAGATCGCCATCTCTTAGCAACGTTTTGTACTGTCGTGGTACTCGGCGCCAAACACCGCAAAGCTGAAGATTAAATGTATCCTTAGATTTATATTCAATGCAAGACAATACAATTTCTCAGAAATGATCTACATAATTATATTAAAGTTGATGTTGCTTTGAAATACCTTATCTGTTTTTTCTTCATAAGTGGCGTGAATCCCGGGTATTTTCTTCAAAGATTGTTCTAAGAGAACTCGTCCTTCTCGATCGAGGAAAGCTAATGCTCGGGGTTGATTTTGTATTGAAGGACTTAGGAGGACAGACCAATAAAGATGACGTCGCCGAAATGTAAGGCGCGCTGTTGCTACGCCTGGTGCAACTGGCACTCCTGACATGTCATCGCGCCTCACACATAGCGGAGATCGTCCAGTTAGAAATGATGCAAAGTCTGAAATATATGGAATAAATATTATTATACACATTTTAATATACTCGTATTTAATACCTACCTTTAATAGTAACTAGGGTTTTGCTAGAGCAAGTTTATAGATTAAGTACTAATTTATTTTTAGTTACATACATTTCATGTTGCGTTCATCTTCTTCAGTAGTTATGACGACTGGACTATCTTCTTGAACAATATCTGGAGCTGAAACAACAATATTGGTATTAAATAGTTAGAACCGGCGCTTGTTTATAACTACGATAGAACAGAAGCAATATGAAGTGCAACGGGGTGATTTTATTTCTAAAAGTCTAAGTTTTTTGATAACCTGCTCCACAGTAGTTAGTACTTATAAGACAGGTTAATAATAAAGATTTGATCAAAAGCCACTATGAACTTTGTCATCCAGATTTAAATTACTTTCCAATAAGTGCTGCAAAAAAAATTAGTAACAGTAACAGATTTAATTAACAATTAATAAATGTATCAATATTATACTAAGTACTATTAGTATCCGTAATTGTAAAAAGAGCAAATAAAATTTGCATTTATACAAGAAACCATATTAATAATGTCTTGGTAAATATAAGGAGGGAATTATAATTTTAAGTAGAAGTTAATGTTTCCTTGTATAGATGAGGACACTTTCTCTTTGCGACGCTGCGTTTTATAAGACGCCGTAGTTGGATCAATTGATTGGTTGCGTTGGTGTCGTTGGACGGCCAGTTCGCAAGACCTCCCCGACCCCTCCATTCGGGTTGATTGGATCAAATGTTATTCAATCGTAACAGGATCGGCGCGGGCGTCTAGACGGCGACGGTAGAATTTGCGTTTTGCATAGCTTTCTTGTTGGGTCTGCTAAGTACAGAAATAGAGAGAGCACTGACATTTCACGCGACAGTTTGATTGGTACCCGATTTGTCGATGTGCATTCGTTAAACGCTCGTAAACCCCAATGTATCATAGTTGTGCATAATATTTAATGTATTTCCGGAACTAATAACATGCCTGCTCTATTATCAAGTCACATTTAGTTCAGTAGGTATTTTAAAAAACCTTGCTCATGCACTAGCACATTTCTATGTCCGCCTTTTAATGTAGATGTCTGAATAACATCGATTAAAATTACCACAAATACAGCATCATGGACTGGCAATTAGGCATGCCATTTCATTCCTAACTTTTCAAATGGACATTTGTTACAGTTTCAATTTCACACTGTAAAACATACAGTTGTTATAAAAAATGTTAATATTGCAATGTTTTTGTACTTCTGAATGTACACTTATGTGATATCCACAAATTTATATCAATAACAGAACTACAGTTACAACAGAAGCTTGCTAAAGCAAATGCACATCTTAATTGGATATTTTATGGATGTGGCGTAATTCGATTACTTTGTAGAATCGATACAGATACTAGTTTAACCTCTATTACACTATATTTTACGTTACTATATTATGTTATGGTTCTACTGATACAAATCTTTTTGACTTAAACTTAACTTTAAAAATGTTTGTTATTTTTCAAATAGCAGAAAATTACTAGTCGAGCCTAGTGGACATAAAACGGATCTTATAATCATAACTTTGCTTTTTTTTAATATTACAACGAAGTGTCTCAATATCTTTAATCTGCTGCACAGGCGTTTTAAGTATCGAGAGCGCCCTAGGCAAGCCTTTCATCGGCGCCCCCCTGCCCCTACGTGCCCCTCTAGCGCTCATACCATATTATTAATAGCTACTAGCTGACGTTACTAAATGTGTGACAGTGATGACTGCAAATTGTAGTTGTCATATCTTTACTAGACACAACCCACTCCAGTTGTCACCCCACCGAGGTTTGCGGTGGACGGTGTAACGGAATCGAAAAGACTAAAACCATACACTGCGCCTGAAATATTCGGATAGGAGCCTATAATAGCTTATATTAAGACGTCCAGGCTTTTCCTTTTTTTTTGGTGACAGGTGAGGCCCGAGGCCTGCACTTATGCAGGATGGAAGTCATGAATGAAGCGATCTCCACCACCTGAGCTGCCTGCATTACCTGACCCGTTCCTGGGCCTGGAGGACTGAGAGAGTTCTAAACCTATTCGAGATCCGATCCACCCTCTCCTCATGACTTACTCGCAAAAGGAGATGGCGCTCCGTACCATGGCCGCAATCATGGTACCGAGTTCGAAATTCCTCTCGATCCAATCCTCCATAACGAGTCTTACCGCCGCTATAATGGGGTGCCCAGCGCTTGGTAACCCAAGTCTTACCCTTCATTCCTCCATGAGGGCCCCGCAAAGTTTTAATTTTTTTGGTCTGAAACCAGAGACAAAGACACCTCGAATCCCAGCCACCCGATCCTCACTAAGCGCCTTACCGAACGCCATCACGATCACCTGATGCTCAAAAGCACCAGCCATGGAGCGGCCGACGCTACTTTGACCAGTGTGTGCTGAGCCGCGTTCAAACTGCATTAAAGTGCTGACAGGCGCAACTCAATTCACTTCTAGCAATCGACTGCTGGTACCTCCCTTTTTATTTTTATTTTTACGTGTGGCAACTCCCTCGGACCGACGAAAACCACACGGTTGCCCACTCTGCGCCTGTAATAGAAGGGATCCGGGAACTAGTGTTATTAAGGCATCCGGACCCCTCTTAGCACCTGCCGGAAACGGCGTGGGCACCACCTTCGGGTAAATTCTCTCTTGAGGCGACGTCCGGCACACGGCGGACGTTGCCTTCTCGCGTCTGCTGGTACCTCCCTAAGCAGACGTGCCCAGGAAAGACCTGCGTCAGTCGAAACGAAAGGGTATTGTGCTTCCACCCTGCCCCCTATAATATGACCGTCAGGACCGCCTCCACGGCACCGAAGCCAGTGCGTAGAGCCTTTCCTTTGACCAACGAGTCATCGTGACCTTTAAATCTCATGGGAGAGATTCGCCACCACCCTCTGAGTGTGAGCATGTATTTTCGTGTGCTTGCACTAGCCTCGATCTGCATAGGTATCATATAATTTTTTTTTATGTTAGTAGGCATATCTTTTTTCTTTATTTAAAATTCTGCGCGCGCACCCCTTTGTAACCCGGCGAACCTAGGTACGTACCTTAGGGTTTATCCGCCACTCATGTGCTGTAATATTTTTCTAGATAAATTCAGTCCAAAATATTAAATGGAAGTACCTAATCATCATCATCATCATCATCATCAACAGCCTATACTAGTCCACTGCTGGACATAGGCCTCTCCTTAGAAAGGAGGTTTTGGCCTACTATACCACGCTGGCCAGACGGGTTGGTATAGGCTTTGTTTCAAGTTTTCCTTCTCTTTGCAGTACTGTTGTCCTGCTTAGTTTGCTCCCTTAGTCGGCTCTTACGACACCCACGGGATGAATTGAGGTGGTGACAATGTGTATTCTTAATCCGTCACCACACGGACTGTACGGTACCTAATCAATTGTACAATATATCTAGGTTCAATATAATTATGAACAATTCAAGCATACTACAAAAATTATTTTGTTCATAAATAATAAATTTAATCAAAAAGAAAAGTATATGTATATTTCTCACTACGCATTCCAAAATTGAATCCAGAGTATGTCTAAAAGAAAATCAACGATGGCCAAATATGATAAACCGTGTTATTTAAATAGCGGCAATGAACAGGGGAATGACATGTTATTGTTTATCATGTCATTCCTTGCCATACCATTCCAGTTCAATAGTTACCGATAAAGACTATGATGAGCAAGTTGTTTACTTCGCCGTACGTGCAAATACATATATGCTGAAACAGATTGTGATCTGGCACGCTCCGGCGCCGCGGTTTATAACTCACTCTGTGAATTCAATACATATCTGAGACAGCCCTAAATTTATTTGCAAATGGCGCCAACGCAGCGATGAGTAGCTCTAGGATATTTGCAAGCACAACAAAGAGTAGCGCTCAAACAGATGGACTGACGTGAGAATGCGCCACCGATATGCAAGGCTGCCAACTGTTATGTTAACGCCTCACTCGAATTATGAAAATTATTATTATCACCTCATTTCTTGCCAGGTTTATGTAGTGCAGTTAACCTAAATATTACCATATTTCCCACTATTATAGTTAGTACTAATAGTAACAAATACCGAATCCACAGTGACGCAACAAAGTATCTACATGATTTACCATGGAATTCACTTATTGATTCGATTCATCAAATAGAATTCAATTGTTACATGATTTCATTCGCAACTTTGCATTCATACGCGATGGCAAATATAACTTTTTAATTCTACATAATTTTTGCAATTTCAATTTTCCGGAACATACAAATGAGGACTAACTCAAATAGTGGTTTTGAAAAGAAGAATGCGAGTGAATGACAACCCTACAAGAGAGTGCGCTCACGTCGCCGGACACCTTTGACTCGGCCAAGCTTGGCTCACTCGTCGCGCCTGTACGGGTATGAATATTTATGCGCTTGCATAGTGCACACTCGCAGTGCGACTACGAACACTCAGATACATTACTTTTCAACCAATACCAGTCATTAATGTTGTTTAGGGCGAATCTACTTTTAAAAGCAAGTTAGAGGCGGACGTGACGGAACTAAACATTTGATCGCTTCATTCTAAGTCTAGTCGCGGCCTAATGTATTTAGCCCTGTCCGTCGCGACGAGTTTTCCAATAGTGTTATGTAATCAGGCGCCGCATAGACGAGCCTCACACTAACGTGAACAAACTGTACAGCACACCAATAAATCGGTTCAAACGGACCAGATATAAAACTCATTCGATGTCATATCACAAATGATGGAAATTATACGACGGCTGCCAGATCTCAGTGAACAGTCGGCACAAAGATTAATACTTCTATCTAGCTATCTGTCATTAATGAAGGCGGGTTTTAACATGAATTAGAGGAAAATGCTGGCAAATAGCTTTTATATTTTTAAAATTTTAGGTAAGTACTCTCACAAGTCTGTGTTTAAAATATGTTATTATGTCTAGAAGCGAAATGCATGAGATTAAAAATGTTTTAAGAAATACTCTCCACTGACAACGTGTCAATGGAGAGTATTTGTGTCAACGTGACAAGCGACAACGGTTGCAAAATTGATCGCAATTCTACTAGATTTCCTAATGCACCTCCTTATTTCGTACTTCCTTAGTGAGAGTCGTGAATATTTATTTGACTTTTAAGAGGCGATTAGATAGATT